CATCTAGTAGGGCTTATGTTACCTTCTCCAGTTTGAATTTATGAAGAATTTATTGAACATGGGTGACCAGAACTGAACATAATACCCAGATGAGTTTGTGGTATGCTGTGTAAGCCTTGTAAGAAAGGCTTCCTTTCCGTTTTGATCTCAAAACAAAAGTATAGCTTCAATATACGATTGGGGATAGAAGTCGTCCTGAACATCTGAACTGCAAGAAGAACACAGTTAACTGGAAAAAAGTCTTCTGGACAGCAATTTTTAACTTAACGCATAGGATCAATTAGTGAGAGAAAAGGAAAAAAATCCCCATTTCTCCTGACTCTTTTTGGATAGGCTTTGCATATAGCTGTAGCAAAGAGAAGCTGTTTAAAATAGAAAAGTATAATTGTAAAACCATGAAATTTAGCAGTAGGAGTCTGGGGTAGGAGTTTAAATGTACTATCTTTCAACCTGCAGATTTTAAGTTGGTGTTCCTTAATGCATACCTTCCCATTGTTGCTTTGGTGGTATCAAAACCAAAACTTAAATTTTGAGTAGTTTCCCAAAGATTCTATATAGTAATAATATATGTAAATGATATTTTTTTCTTTAAACATTCCTAAAGGTGGTGGTGATCTGTGTACTAAAGGATGTAACTATATTTATTCACGTAATACTTGATGGTTTTGATTTCTCTTGATTCTGCCCCTGAAATAGTCTTATTGCATAAAAGTGCACAAGCTTCACGTTTTAAAAAAAAAAAAGAAAGAAAAAAGAACAAAAATGGTTATGCTAATTTTGCTGTTGTGTTCAATAGTGCTCATATGGCTACTTTGCATTTTTTTTCTTTTAAACAGATGCACATAGATTCCCACGAAGCTTTGGGAGTATTGAACACTTTGTTTGAAATTTTGGCTCCTTCATCTCTCCGTCCCGTGGACATGCTGTTAAGGAGTATGTTTGTTACTCCCAAAACAATGGTGAGTGATCAGTATTGTGGCTAAACAATGTAAACTTATGACTGCCCTTTATGGAGATTTGTGTATCAAGGAAAAGACAATCCTATATTTTCAAACATGGCAAAATAGCAGCAGGCATTAATATAAGCTTCTGCAACTTGTATAGCCTTTCCCAATTCTTGTTACCAAATTAACTTCAGTAGTTCCAGTGAATTCAAGTTCTACTGAAGTTACCAACCTGGAGCTGTTTGGTCATAAAATTATACTTACGGGTTGGCCATTTTCCCCCCGTAATTCAAGGATGAGAAGGGGGATGGGTGGGCATTGTTTCCCTACTTGTATAAGAGGAATTCCATAGGTTGGTTTATAGATCTTCTCTCATGTAAAAATTTAATCCCATTTTTTGTATAATGATGAAAATCCCTTTATTTCATTTTTGAAAGATGGGTATGTTTTAATGAAACATTTTTCACAGAAGTAAGTGTTGCAGAAGTGTACATTCCCCTAATTGCACTTGAGTTGCAGAGCATCAAGGGCTCTTAAAGCTGACACGATTTTCCTGAACTGTAAGTCTAAGCTAGTTGCTGGGAAGCAAGGCTCTGGGAGGTGAGAAGTCAGTAGAATTAAATGTTATGCGTTTGCTTTGAACTAACCTCTTTTGAGTTGTATAGGATGTATTATTCTTGCAGTATCTCTGTCTGAGTTTCAGTTGACATTAAAAGAATGAAAAATGCTGAATTTCTTGTGTGATTTTTTTTTTTTTTTTTTTTTTTTTTTTT